GGCAATTTAGTAGACTTACATCAAGAATGAAACGATAACATTTTCACAAAATGTTATTGAGAAGTAACAAGGAAAAGATGATCAGTTGGGCGGCCCCGCAGCTGAATACACTACTGTGTACGTCTAGGCATCAACAAAACGAGATGATCGATGTCTGGTTGTAGCAACTCGAAGTTCGTGGATTAGCTGCGGCAGAGTCTGTAGCAGATGGTGCAAAGTGGATGGTCTCCTCCCCATCATATCCCACACATGTTCGATCGGGCTTAAATCCGGTGTAGGCGGTGGCCACGGCAAGACATTAACGCCTGCTTCTTGAAGAAAGTCCGTAGTACGATGAACAATATAGGCCCTCTATATACGGCAGTAAAGTGGCCTGTGGAACATCATCAACATAACGGCGTCATCTTACCTTTCTACGACGATCGTGCGTACCTAGACAGAATCCCGATTCGTACGCATGTCTACCTTCTCCTCCAAACCATGGCTCAGCGATCTGACCCGTAGTAGCAAAACGGTCTCGTAGGACTATTTGTCTGAAGCGCTTATCTTGACGCTCTGTGGTATGCCTCGGTGGACCAGTTAACCTTCTTCGTATTTCTCTACTTTCTTCTATCCACACGCATTACAGTCATTGCAGCACAATTAATACGGCGGCCAATTTCGCGATAGGACAGACCAACATCTCGATAGGCAATAATACTACCCCTGTCAAAGTCGCTAACATGGTGATAATTTGGACGTATTCGAACTGAAGGCATTTTGTTACGCTTAACGCTAGTGAATGAAAGAGCGATAACTAAAAATATCTGTATTACTCAGCTCTCAGAAACTGCTTCCTTCACAAAAACTAAGAGATAATATTTTAACAAAGGTAAACATAAACAAAGATAAAACGTTGAAATTGTTGCCACAACATGCTTTAAATACAGTCATTATGTAGCCAAAAACAAGTTGAAGAAATAATTGTTTCAGGGTATAGCACTTGTAATGTCAATGGGTATATTTGTGCTTCTGCGCGATAGAAATCTCGTCGAATCAGTAGTACAGCGTCGGGCTACTCGTATCCCTTTTGGAGCACGAAGACCAAGCTATGAAGATCGCCTTGAATTATTCAACCTGACCTCATTCTCTGAGCGAAGACTTCGTGGCGATCTTATAGTTACGTTCAGGATACTTCATGGTTTGATGGGCACCAACCTGATGCATCTATACCGTCTGTCGCGCAGCAATCTACGCGGACACAGCTTCAAACTGCATAAGGAGCCATTTAAAACAACAGTCCCACAGTGGTTTCTTCCCAACCGCATATTCAACACCTGAAATAGTTTACCTGAAAGTGTGGTTGGTGCTACTTCAGTTAATAGCTTCAAAGTGCAGTATGATAGCTGGAGGAGTGTACAAACTTTATAGCTATGAACTGTCTTTTTTTATTTTTTTATGTTTGATGTATTTGTGTTACGTGTCCGTACACTATATTTACTGCATGAGCTTATAGTACTGTGTACTCTGCTCATCTCAATTATCATAATAATAATAATAATAATAACTATAAAAAATTGCAACGGAGGTCTCCGCTGCGGAATAATAATAACTGTAATAAGAATAATAGTTCGGATTTATTATGGCAAAATTTACCCAAACTCTACTTTTACATTTAACTCTACTATGAAAGTACATTATACAGGAATTTAGAAAATACATATAATGTAATGGCTCACAACGTCAAAATGTGAAACTAGTTGTATCTCTCAGCTAGTAGCATGAGCCTACTATTATTTTTGAATGATGAAACTGAATATTTTTTCATTTCATTATTTTTACCTATTCTCTGGGCGCTGAAGAAAGACATTAAACGTAAACAGTGATCAGCACGTGAACAGATCCCTCGAAAGCATCCACGGATATACTCCAGTCACTTTAAGTCTAAACATCCTCGGCAGTGTATTTCTAGTGAATCCACAGACCCTTTTTCGTGTCATCTTGAGACTAGAAAAAGGATGACTGTTAAAATAAGTTACCTTGATCTTTCATGAGCTCCCAGTACAAAACATCATCGATATATTTTTGATGTAGGAACAACAAATTGGTTTAGAAAACATCCACTTTGAACTTAAATTGACTGGAGTAACATCGATCTACAGACAAATTCAAGGTCACTAGCAGTCGTCGGCGCTCTACGAATCTGCACAGGTTTGGACTTGTAAACGTGATTGTAGATGACACGACAGGCATCTAACAGTTAATTCACGCACAGGATTGCATTGCATACGCATTACGCATTCAGTAGCGTATACTCGTTTTTCGCGAGTGGAACGTTTTGTTTATATATTGCCTAAGATACGATGTCTGACACAGATACAGCCGACGAAGTGGTTGACATCAGCGCAACCCCACCCAAAAAAAGGGCTAAGAAGCTACATTTAAGTGCAAATTGAAAACAAATAATATTAAATATATACAAAAACCAAATTCAAGAAAAACCCGATTTGGTCGTGGACGAAGTTATATGTAAGGTAGCACATATTTCTGGAGTATGTCGGTCCAGTGTTTATAGGATCATTAAGGAATATAGGAGCACTCACTCACTTTCTGAGCCAAAACCGTATCCTGCAAGAAAAAGGATAACGGACGGAGTAGATGACTTTGACAGAACTGCCATCAGGAGGAAAGTGCATAATTTTTTCTTCCGAAATGAGATACCTACAGTAGATAAGATATTAAGATTAGTTAATGCTGATGAGGATCTTCCATCATTTAAAAGAACCACATTCCGAAAACCTTTGAAGGAACTTAATTTTCGATTCTTGAAACTTGGAAGAAACAGTATGTTAATAGAGAAAGAAGAAATTGTTGTGTGGAGAAGGGAATACCTTAGGAAGATTCGGAAGTTTCGCGATGAAAAAAGAAAAATTTACTATTTGGACGAAACGTGGGTGAATGCTGGACATACTCAAGCGAAAGTTTGGGTCGACAAATCAGTAACATCATCAAGGCAGGCTTTTCTAGACGGTCTTTCGGCTGGATTGAAAAATCCTGCAGGTAAGCTCCTTCATCTATCCGGCAATTTAATTTTGATAAATTCGGGCAAATAATATGCTGTGATAGCAGATAATGTGTGATATTCTCCAAAAATGGTGCATTCGCAGTGTAGTCATTAGGAAAAAAACTTCGACCCTCTTTTAAGCGTTATTTTGAAATTTATTATCATTTTTGGGTGCAGTCAATTTGCTTTGAATGGGTTTTGAGAAGTTGCAAACTTCAATTTTCTACGTTTTTCAGTTTTTGATCAGCATTCCGTGACTCTTAAATTCAGCTAAATGAACTCAATTGCCTCATTCCTTCAAATTTAATCAATCCATAGTGTAAGGAATAATTTATTTCCAGGAAAAGGCAAACGGCTGATCATTTGTCACGTAGGTAGTGAAGACGGCTTTGTTCCCGAAGCACTGTGGGCCTTTGAATCAAAAAAGACAGGGGACTATCATGAGGAGATGGACGGCAATTCCTTTGAAAATTGGTTCTCCAAAATGTTACTGAAGCTGGAGAATAACGCTGTTATTGTACTGGATAATGCCCCGTACCATTCTAGAAAAATAGAAAAAATTCCCACAATGGCAACTAAAAAAGCAAACATACAACAATGGCTGGCCTCAAAACAGATCGATTCTGATGAAACAATGGTCAAGGGTGAATTGATAAGTATAGTCAATAGACATAAATAAAAATACGATTTTAAAATGATCGATGAAATGGCCAAAAAACAAAATAAAACTGTCTTGAGACTGCCACCCTACCATTGTGAGCTGAACCCTATTGAGCTGATTTGGGCCAACATAAAGCAATACGTGACGTCGAATAATAATACTTATAAATTTTCTGATGTTAAAAATCTCTTTCACATCGCAGTCAATAGAGTTACGGCAGAGGAATGGAAAAACTGTATCCGCCACGTTCGGGAGAAGGTTGAGGTCAAAATGTGGGATTTGGACAATGTCATCGATACCCAAATTGAACCTCTAATAATTCATTTAAACGATTCAGAAGATTCAAGTTCCTCTTCTGAATGAGTGCGCGCAGCTTACTTACTAATAACTAAAAAGTGTAGTTAACTCATTTGTGAATCTCTAACTGAAATTTACTGTAAAAGATAATAATTATCTTGTATGAAATTTTTGATGACTACCCATAATATCTTGATGCGGTCCTGTAATGTCTCCTGCGCCTAAACTCTCACTCACGAGCAATATGCGTGTATTTGTTTGGGTTTAGTTTCTTTCTTCAGCGCCTAGAGTATAATTATATAATTTCACAGTTATATGAAAAAGATCTTTGGAAAAGTGTTGATTGGTGACAAGGACTGCTTGTTATCTACGCGTGTTAAATTTAGAAAATGTATGTTTCTTCTCAAATAAATATGATGGGAGTGTAAGTCACTATTAATTTATGCACAAAAGAGAGGTAGTGTAATTTTACTGTCTTTTCACATTCAGTCAACGAATATCTCTCAACTTTGATGATACATTATCATATTTTCTTGATCCATAGATAAATCGACGGATTTTGAAATTTCTGCAGACCTAGATATCACAGGCCGCAGCACCCGAAAGCTATGTTCTTGAATAGTTCCACTCCGAACACCATAGCGCGGCATAACTTGAAATGTACTAACAATATCTACTATCCACTTAGAAAAAATACAATTACATATAAAGAAATTAGAAAATCAACCTCATCTTCAGGTGTTACGCTTTTTAATTTTTTTCAGTAATAGATATCTTGAAACGTTTTCTAGTCGTATGGTTCTGTTGCGAAGGAGCAATGGGAGCGCTGGTTTAAAAATCGGTTATTGTGAATGGCAGACGATGGAAGCTATTTTGGAAAGCAATGCATATTTTTTCATATTGTAAGACGTATGCAGTACCCTATGCATCCGAAGGATGGAACGCACGCCGTTATCCGGCTCGAAGGACCAAAAAGGCGCCGTCACGCCAATGCGGTCAGCTGGTGCGCGTGGGGGCACCGCGGCGCGACGTCGACCGTCAACTGTTTTCTGCTAACCAGTCGCGCCGTCGGCTGCTACCGCGATCAATAAACTCTCGATCCAACCTTCTTAAACGTCACAAACGCCGGTCGGACCGTCCATCAAAACATAAAAAGCAACGGTCAAAACACAACGGTCCCCGCGATCGCAACGCGATGATTGGGATCGGTTTGAACTAGGTCTGAACCGGACTGCAAGCACGTGCCTATTTATAATGCGCCACTAAAATAGGTTCACAGGATTATACCGATATCTCGGTCTCCAGTCTGAATTAAGTGCGTTGTCGTAGGACTGCGACAGTTCGTTTCGCGTATTGCGGGATTTGTACCGTTGTCAAAACGTTCGTCGTCAGGATCCAGTTGAAGTCGTCCAGTAAGTAGTTGTTTGAGAGCTCATTTTGATGTTCGATGAATGGCAATTCACTGGTTTTCACTTATATATCACAACGGAATTTGTGATCTTTGAGCTATTAGACAAGGGTAGATTCAGTATGTTAAAATATGAAAAAACGACGATATAAACAGGCCAGGAAACGCTTCCAGTTCAAAAAACTTGCTTATCTTCGATTGATCACACCACAACAGACTAACTATTGATATGAGCTTTGATACACGCAAAATTATACCAACAAAATGATTTTTAATGCATGTAAGTGCCCTTTGTACCAGCAAGTAGATGTTTAGCAAAAAACTATATGTCACTGTTTTTTGCAAAAAATAGTACGAGTATCTTAAAGCCAGCTAGATCCTTCTGGAAAACCGTTTCTTAGAATTCTTCGTCGAGACGTGCCATCTTTGAAGTAAAGCTCAATCATAATCACTTTTGAAGTAGAATCAATATGAATTCAAGAACATGACACATACTTTTACAAGAACCAGTGGTAAACAATTTTTCGCTAAACATTAGGATACATAAGTAGTTGTAAACACGTCGAATCATGAAGGCAGGTAATTTCCAGACCCATGGTTATATAAGAAACGGCTTTATTTATCATGGTGCATTAGAAATGCCCGAATTTCAACCTCTTCTATTCTTTCACTTAACCTTAACTTTCTATATCATTACGTGCTGAATCTGCCTTTAAATTTTCCTAACAACTTACTGCAAAGAAAATGACCCATAAAAGGTTATCAATTATACTTAACCTGATTACAGTCCATAATAGTAACAGCTGAAGGTTGGTGTTAGAATCTATAGCAGTAATTGATGATAAAGCTTTTAAGAAAAAGAGCCATAAAGCTTCAAATACTAGTAGGTGGCTTTCAATTTTATATACAAATTGAGAACAAACGTTGAGGAGGCGTTATAATTCAGTTCTGTGGACGATCACTCCATATGATGTTTGTATTCCACTTCTAGTTTGTTGTATAATTTTGCCTTGTTCGTGCTAGAATTTCATTTTCTCGGTTCCTGAGTTGACCTATGACCAGTTAAATCTCTAGCTAGTTGTTTCTCTTGGACGGTTTTTCAGCAGTTTCCAATCCGTCACTGCCTGTAGCAAGAAACTTCATTGTTTGGGTGGTAGAATAGATATAGTATCTAAATCTCGCCTCCCAAGACAGTAGTGACTACCTCCCTCTTTTTAGAACATGGTGTGCTCCACCGTTTCCTTATGACAATCTGTCTTGAGCTATATTACCGTTTTCGCAAGCATTTTAGATCTAGATTTAGGCATTTTCAGATCCCATCACAATGTGATCATTGCCATTCCTTGTTTCTGTCACTGTCAAAAGTACTACTAATTTTTCTTCTATCTGTTTTGTCTTGGAGGTAGTTCTCCAAATGTATAATCCAAAATTGTTAACAGCATACTGCCCTTGAACTGGTCTACTAGCGTAAACAGTGAACTGTCGAATTCATCGAACAAAATGAAGAATAAAAATAAGAACGGTACCTTCCGTAGATGACGCCCGCGGTGGATATTTGCGACCGAGGAAGTCGAAAAGTGTATCCTGCATGGCTGAGTCAGTGATGCTGTGTTTTGTGCAGGGCTTCGACGACCCTGAGGTATCTTCCTCGGGGGTTGTCGGAAAAGAAGCCAAACTGCAAAGTGTCAAGAATAAGTTTCTTAGAAAATCAAGGTAAGCAGTGCGTACCAGATAAAATTTGTTACATAAAATATAACCAACCGAAATTAAACACTAATGATCCTATAGAAATCTTTGGTGCCTGAGGTTTCCGAAGCTGGAGCAAAAGCTTTGTATGGGTGGCTTGATGGGCAAGGCATATGGCTTGAAGGGCCCGTGACAAAATAGAGAGATTTGGTCATTCACTATTACGCTGCGGGTAATGATTGGAGGGCAGGGAAGTTCACAAAAAAAAGGTTTTAATGCTCCCGTGCCCTCTTCAATCTTATTTTAAATTATTTATATTTTTTTCTGAATCTACATGTATACGAAAAAATATGGAAACTTAAATAGCTGTGGTGGAGTTGACAAAAAAATGTAAAAGACCTGAGGGACTAAAAACATATCGAAGATTCAGAAAATTTCTTTCCACCTACCTAGAACTTACAATTTATGAACCACATTTCACTTGGCAAGCAGTAAGAATGCAATTATCTTTACTTCTCTATCTCTAATTACGTATGTATGTATTTAGGTTTGCTTTCGCTGCCGTCATTTATGTATCCTTACGTCCTCAACAGATCTACAATCTTTTACTTGTAATGTTAATTATTCTTTCAATTTCTGATTGCTCACATATGATGACCAGTCCCACTTTTGGTCCGCCCCTGTTTAGTCCATAAACTCATCTGAACCGGCTGGACCAGCTTGGCAGAAATCAAGTTTAACGCAATACAAGATTGAGCAATATTCAATATTCTTATAAGCGATTGTATAGACAGTGGTATAGCTATATTTACACTTAGATCGAGAGTTTTTCTTGGTAGAAGTCTTCAAAAAATGGATATCCTCCGTGTTAAAGTCTTGTTTGCACCTGGTACTGCCTCTAAATAGTCATGAAATTGCTGCCATTTTTTTCTTACATTTAGCTTGACATTTTGCTCATATTTTTTCTGGTACGTAAGCCCGAAAGTTGGTTGATTAGTCTTCATTAACCGTTGAAGGAAGAGATATAGTGGATGGGAGGAAGTGAAACTCCAAATAATGCTGTTTTTCCAGATTCTTATAAATGTATGGCATTTTCATAATGTTCCTAACTATGACAACCAAAGCATCAAAATGAGTCCACATTAAATTGGAAAATGAGGTTTACGGGAGATGCTCGTTATATTTTCATCTATATCTTTCAAGTTAGACAACCCTCATTGGTACTTCAGCTGTCCGATTATTCTCCAGGACCTGAAACCCTTTCGCCGAGAAACATAGTGAGTTTCGGTTAAATAACAAAGATGGCAAATCTACATTTGTCGACACTTTTGATGACTACAGAGAATGGTTTCGTCCTTCAGTTACTTAATGTGATTTCTTTCTCTAGCCTCTAAAATATGTACACCTCTTCCAATATAAAACCACCTATAAGATTGAGAATAAGGATTGCAGCTCCCTCACTCTTATCCTGAAGGATGAGGTTAGGTGGTGTTGTAAAACCTATTACCTCAATGCATCAAAATAGTTTAAGGGATGCTGAGGAGACATATTTTGGTAAATAGTAAATGAATTTTATTCCGTAATTTTCGTTCTTCTATTCGTTATTATGTCAGAATGGTACCGGAGTTTCTGAGCCTAGAACGAGGCTATCCCTGTCTTGGGTATCCCGCATTTTGGAGGGGGGAGGACCTAGGAGAAGAATAACAATTTTCTTCGAAAGTCAGGCTGCAATGAAGGCAGCGATGCATTCGGTATAGTTAGTGTGGGTACCGGGGCACGCTGGGATAAAGGGAAATCATACGGCGTATGCTTTGGCGAAGACAGGATCAACCATCAAGCTCGTTGGTCCTGAGCCAGCTTTAGGTGCCCATGCAAAGAGTTAGGAGGAAAATGGAGAAGTGGATTGCAAGACAACACTCTCAGAAATGGAGAAATATTTCCAGACATCTCAGTCAGGCACGGGAACTCATTGTAGTGCTCAGTGTTTTTACTTATATATGGATAGAGCCAACCTAAGGTTGCTGGTGGGACAGTTGTCTGGCCGTAACACGTTAAGGCGCCACCTGCACGTGATGGGGATGGCTGGGGATCCCTTGTATGAGCACTGCGGGGTAGAGGAGCAGACCTCGGCGCACGTTCTGAGTTACCACAGGCAGGCTATACTGGGGCCCATCACTTTGGACTCCCATGACGTTGAGGAGCTTGGACTCTAGGCCATACACAACTTTGCTAGAATTGCGAGCGTTGAGGTCTAAGGATTGTAGACGTGCACAAGGGCCCGTTCAAGTGGCCTATGCGCTGGATCCTTATGGTGATCAGTATGCCTCTAATTCATTCATTCATTCTTGTCAGAATGGTCCATAAGACGTTTGCTCTTTGTTAAAGTATCGTAGGTCCGTTGATATGTCAGGTCTCATTGTCCAAATAGCAAACAAAGTCTTAGAGAAAGCGCGTCGGTTAGAGGGTTCCTTAGAGTTGTCATCTAGTCTTCAGGAATTATCAATTACGCCAAAAATTGAATTATAGATTATTTGTGAAAAAATTAATTTTGTTTGGGCCTAAAATTGCACCTTTCAATTTTGTTCATAGGTCGTAGTGTTCTGCATTTGCGAACCTGCTCGACTGTGTTGTCTAATAACTCACCCAGCAAAGTGTTGCTGTTCCACTTGACTGTAACGCCGCTGCGCATGCTGCTTGGCGTAGTCTCTTAACTAGGGGATGTTCCCTATGAAGGGTCTCGTTGGAGATATACCATAATACGTTAGTAATTATGCAAGATTTTGTTATACAGAACCTGCAGGCTTCGCATATGCTTTTTGGCGAGAAATACTACGCTGTACATGCGTTAATTTTTTGATCATATTGGTTCTGAGGTTTTACATAACATACGGTCACGTTGTCGAAACGTAATTTGGAATTTAGCTTTTAACGTCAAACTGTGCTTTTGCCAGATCATCCCCTAGTACGCGAGCTTCGTTAACTGAAACCTCAGATGATGCGCCACTACGTGTAGCATAATATATAGCTTTTGTTTTATGATTATTAATTTTGATCTGCCACCGATCCGCTCATTCAAATACCTCATCCGCCGCACCTGTTGTGAACTAGATTCCTAGAACTACCCGTGCGGTGTCATCCACTTACAGACAGAATGAAGTAGACCTATCAGTGGCTCGCGCATCATGTTCCTACACGGTTAAAATTTTTGTGTTTATATATAAATCATCCACCGAATGTTTTGTATACTGTGCAAAGAAATTTTAAATAGATCCCAACATCTTTGATTGCCTAGATATTGCTTAACCTCCAACATGATCTCCAATAACGTCATTAGACTAGTTTTATCTTCTGCTTATTATTTTTGATCGAATGCCAGGTACTCGCAATCCGCTTATTTTTTTTTGTTCATAAAAAAAACCCACAAACGTGGTCACTGAGTAAATGAGAGTTCCTATTTTTAGTAACTAGGCTGCAAACTGCTTCGGTGCATCTTATTATAAGTACCTCATTAATCACGAGCGCATTGTTGAGGAAAAGTCTCAAGCTTAAGTGGAGAGGCCTTGCGAATATTGACTGAGCTTTTGTATCTACAGAAAGTATCGTATGCCTCTTAGTTGCAGGTGGTTTAACTTTTCATTAAAAGCTTCCAAGTAGGTTATTGAGTGCCTTCCGCGTTTCATCAATACCGTTCGGTTGCGAAACGGCAAAAAAGATGCGCAATGTACTAAAGAAATAAGATTCATTTATAAAGCTCCATTTTTTCTGGACGCTAAGTGACACCACACCGAGGTGGGCGAAACGTGATCAAAAAATCATTCTTACATATGTGATTTGATTTAGCGGCCAAAAAAAGCATAGAGTTTTATCAGCATAGAAACAATGGGTCTTTATTTGCTACACAGCAACTATGCTTTGGCGTAATCCTACTTGGCCAAGTTCAGCTTACATACTCTTACACTCAACCAAGAAGGAGAAGCATCGGATGTTCTACAGTAATGACAACAGTTAATCAAATACACAAAAATTTCGAATAATAGCTCTTAAATAATAGTTAAAATCGAGAAACCATAAAAATATACACTGCAATATGAAATATGAAATGATACAATATTAATGTTAAACCAAATATGTTTACTGTGCTAAGATATTACTTGATACGGTCAGTTGAACTGCGAGTCATAGATGTACGATACAATTTTTCAACAACAAACTGATCATGAATATTTTTTTGAGTGACTCTGATATTGACTTGTAAATAACTACATTATTACATGAAAAACCACGTTTGAATAACGTTGTACTACGATAACTTTATTCCTAAGTGTCGTTTTCTCCTCACACCATACATCGATAGCGGTAGCGTCAGCAAAAATCGCATTTAGCACGATAGCTGCACGTTCACACCACTATGGTACGGCACTTTCCTTATCTCTCAAACGTTTTTTTATTTCTCATAAAATATGTCACCTGATGAAGAAGAGAAAAGGTAAGTATTTTGGTGATTATCAGAAGTTAATAATAATTAGTAATTGCGTTTAATAAAAAATCAAATATTAAATCTAATGTGATCAAACGCTTTATACTGTTTCCTGCGATTTTTATAGTCTTCGTGACTTAAATCGTAAAATATTGGATACTTCTTAACTTGTTCAATTACGCAATTAATTTCTCCGTTGTGAACATCGTGAAAAACGTAGCGATATGCGATACAAACCGCGTCAGCGATAAACCGTGCTCCTCCCCTCCGCTTTGGTGTGATCGGTGTTACTTATTCCTCTGAAAACTGAGCACCGCATGGATAGCGGTGCGATTATGGCTATCGCCTTACCGCGTCGGTGTGGGGCATCCTTAAATATAAGTCGAACACAATTGTTTTGGATACTTTGTGTTGTACTTTTCGTTGATTGATCTAAGGAACTAAAAAATAAAGCCACAATTAGTTTCTTTCGTAGTTTAAAATTCCACATAAAATATGTTTGACATCCAGCAACGGAGTGTTAGATATGTTCTTCGAGATAGATTTTAGA